TTCGTTTTTATAAGTAAACGTTAAGCAGCATTAACGTAGATCGGTAAGAAATAAAAGATTAAGTTTGTTGATAAACAAATTAATTATCCTAACAACTTGATATTTATTTGAATCTTTTTTTCTTTACATTAAAGAGTAAAATAAAAAAAAAAAAACAATGGGAAAAAGTTTTACAAAATTAATTATTTATTTAATTTACTTGTGTATATATTTTAAATATAAAAAGTATATAATATAAAAGTAAATATATGTAAATAAAAAAATAACTAGAAATATAAATAAAAAAAAAATATAGATAAGAAATATAATTTTGTGTGTGTTACGATTATTATTAAAAGTAAAAAAATTAAGAGGATAATAAAGAAAGTTTGCCACTTTCTGGTCAATTTTCTGAGAAAGCGACCGACAGGGAATTACCTGGTTTAATTAACTGTGCACATCTTAATTAACTGTACTGTGATTAATATAATAACTGAGCATGGCTCGCGAGAAAATTAGCGCGCGATGCAGTCACCGGGATGTAATCATCGTTGACATTGATCGGCGATAGAGCCGTAACTCTACGAAGATATAGACTTCAAAGACAGACTTAAGCACCTAAGCAAACAAGCACGACAAACGCACTTCCCGTATCATATAATCGCGCTGTTGTTGCACGTGTGAGTTTCGTCATCGCACAATAACTAGCAAGGATTTAAGTGAGTTAGCTGAAAAATGCATAATATAATATGCATTTATTGGAACACCGAGATAATTAAATAGGACGTTCAAACTGATTACTAGAATGTCAAAACTGTTTGTAACATTGCTCATCATGCTTCACATTTCTACGTAATTAATTTGGTGTTTCAACAAAATTATTTTCAAATCAACAATATATAGCTAAATTTTCAAATACTTCAGCAAAATTGTTCTTCCCGTGCATCTAAACAGGTTCTTCTTAAGAGATTGATATTCCCTCATAGATCTTGAGAAGACCCGACAAATCTAATCAGACTTTAATATAATTTCTAATTTAATATTAGGCTGCCTCGAACTGAAAAAAAAAAACTTGATAATGTTTCTACAATATATAAGAAATTGAGATTTTCTTATATTCACTGTTATTAAAAGATAACACAAAATAATTTCACGTGGAATAATTGTGAAATTATTTTATTATGAGATAACACAGAATTATCTAAAATAGTAATTTCGCAATTATCTTACGTGATGTGTAATTGTCTTAACATTTAAAGATTCTTTCATAAAAATTCACTTTCAAAACAATATATATATCCTGAATTTTATGCGATAAGTTAATGATTCCGATATCATCCGATATCTAGAAAGATAATTGGATAAGCAAAGGAAAAATCTCACGGATTTCAATTAATGACTCTCCAATTTTTTAACGCAAAGTTTGTTTTCTTTCACGTCGTGACGCAAAGAATTACTTACTCCTAATCATAGACAAAATATATATCTATGCTGCCAATCGAGTGCAGAAGGACAGAGGGGATTGATTGAGATGCGTTTTTTCGATTGATAACACACGGCCGTCTTCATCGATAAAAGGCGTATCGCGTACGCCCGGTGGCCTTTTTGCATCCTCATTAAGGCGGAGAAAGGCGTGCTTGTGGGCGCGCGAAGCGTCTTTTCTTGGCGACACGCATAAAAAGCTCTTTTCTCTGCACCCAGTGTATCCCTCGCGTGCACGAAGATCGATTCAGGTTGCGCGAGCAACATTATTACGCAGCCGGAAAGTGTAGCAAACACTCATTCCCTTATCTGACGGAATTGGGAGTGGTTCCTCGAAGTATACCGATACCCGGAACGCGACGCTTCTCACTCCTTGATCATTTAATTTTAACGATAGGTTTTTCGACGAAGCTGAAAACATTTCCAGGGAAGCTATCGATCAAAACTGGTAAATATTTTACAGTAAATGTATCGATATTGAAAGAGATTACAGAAATTTGAGATTAAAAGTTTTAGCATCTCGGAGAAAAACGACGAGTTTGATTCATAATTTATAAGTTTGGTTCATAATTATTAATCCATTTTAGATGCGATTTTTGGAATTATTGGCTTTCATCTCGTTCTCTTTTATTGAATTCCTTCGACTCCAAAAAACTCATCCAATTTTTAATGAACAGTTGAGTGTTTGTCGCGTAGTATATTTTATAATAACAATGTTTACAATTCTCTCCTACAATGCAAGTAAAGTTTGAAATTTTTCAAGATGCACATTTATGACATTTCTCTCTTTCTGTCGATATAACTTTTCTATGTATTTTACAATACTATCCAGAAAGAGTTACATAAATGCTCCAGTCCGGACTTTACTCAATTCTCAATTTATCTGTCAATTAGAATATTTTATGAGAGATAATTTATATATATTATATTGTATTATATTATATCAGGATATTTTATGTTATATATTATATATATTATAGTATTACTCCATATATGTGATCACATCACGTGCATTGTTCAAAGCAGTTAAAAGGTCATATTGCACTGTTAAATTCATAATGTCAAATTATATCCAATTTAAGTTATTTTTAGTCATTTCTATAGGTCGCTATTGCTCCTACGCACTATATCGTTAATTTAATTAAAACAATAGAGTGAAACAATTTAACTCAAGAAACCGCATTGACTCATATTTGGTTTATTATTTACTAAAAACATTAATATATGGACGATGTTTACTTTGAAACTGACCATAGAAATAGATTTGCATTTGGACATACGCATGCAGAAGTTAAAAATAAGAAAATGTTATTTAAAATTTCAAGGTATTAAGTTGCCACTGCTCCTTTGATATTTAACAGTATACGCCTAACAAATGCCTTATATTATGTTACGTTTAAAAGTTATCAAGCGATGTCTCTTCGCCAGTGTTCTACATTTCTGATGATTCATCTTGAAAGCCCGCTATCGCGATTTTTCTTCAAACTTCAATTTGGAGGAAGAAAACCAAAGATCTCGAATGACACTCTTCTAATTATTATTATATTATTACTCCGCCGTTTGAGATATTCGTAAGGCTGAGAAAACTGCCGCACGTCACACCGGCCGCGCGCGGTCGCGTTCATTCATGATTCGTGAGGAAACGACAGTGGCGACACGACACGCGCCACCTACACACTCGCCGTGTCCACCACCGCCGCCGCCACCGCCGCCGCCGCCGCCGCCGCCGCCGCC